TAACAGAGAGCGTAATTTGAGTGTATATAAACAGAAAGAGCACATCCTTTGGCTGTTGTCAGGAAGTGGTGCATATATGTACGTTCCTTGTAGCACTCTTATTCAAGATTTAAGTGGTTGTAACTTTTTTTGGCTTTCTTCTAAAACTAGACTTGTTTCTGTACAAAGTTCTAATACAGTTTATCTAATTCATTTTAAATGTTAGTTTATCAAAGCTTCCCCAGGTGTCTTCATATAGATGTGATAACTTACTGCTTTTGAAAAATCTTTCCTACTTTATTCTAATTTATACTTCCTGGCACACTCAAAGATATTTGTATCTTAAGTATAAAGGAGCAATTCCTCAATTCTTTATTTTCATTATAGAACATTTTTCTGGTGCCATTTAAAAAGGATCAAATGATTTTTGTGTCTTCTATTTGTATTTTGACATTGTTATACTTGTTTGTCACTTCAGTAACAGCATATGTAAAGTTACCTGACAATTCCTCAATTCTTTATTTTCATTATAGAACATTTTTCTGGTGCCATTTAAAAAGGATCAAATGATTTTTGTGTCTTCTATTTGTATTTTGACATTGTTATACTTGTTTGTCACTTCAGTAACAGCATATGTAAAGTTACCTGAGTTTCTAAACTTTTTTGGGTATTCATTTGCATTTGGTAGAGGTGTTTACAAACATCTAGAAGTTTACTAGCCTTAATGTAGTGCATGAGGTACTGACAAAATGGCATAGTGAAATGTTTCTTGCGAGGGTTGTGTTATACAAACTGTTTTTTCCAGCATGAGACAGCTGTTGCAGCTTCATCAAAACAGCTGCATCTAGACCTGTAGACAATTGAATGTCTACATGTAACTGTAGAGTTACAATAATGAATGTAAAGTAATGTTAGGAGGCAGTTGTTATTTTCAAAATATGTAGTGATAATAGCTTTTATAGCCCTTGGAAAAGGATGAAGATGGTGTTTCCTTCTTACTGGAAAAGGATGATTTTTCTCATGATTGACTGATTGATCAACCCTTTTAGAGGGTTGGATGGTATTTCTTCAAATTCCTCAAGTTCTAGTTCGTGGATATTGGTAAAGGTAGTTGTAGGTCAGTGGCGTCTGCAAATAACTATATTACAGTACATCTTTTATTCACCAGCTACTTTGTTTGCTTTCGCACATCCTGGAGATGCAGCCTGATTCTTCAGTGCTTGTTAGAAATTCTTCTGCCATATTATAATACAGGTTTTATTTTCCGTTGTTGTTTGGCTTATGAATTAGTGCTAATATTAACTCTGGAAATGGAAGCTGGAAAACTTGAAACACTGTTCAAACCCAGGACTTAAAACACTGTAAAAGCTGTGCAAAAATTTCATTACATTCTGAATATACATTTCAGATTTGTATGTTTAAATGACTTCTTAAAGGAAAGCTTTATTCAGTTATAGAGAATTGCTTATTTTATTTTTACTTCTGGGTTAACTAGTGTACTCTTCCATTTCAGAATGTATGAAAACATGTCCACAATGGTGTATTTAAAGGAAGAGAAGTTGGAGAAGCTCACTCAAGATGAAATCATTGCCAAAACTAAGCAAGTGATTAATGGACTAGAGGCACTGAAGAATGAACACAATTCAATTTTACAGAGCTTACTTGAAACACTGAAATGTTTGAAGAAAGATGATGAAACTAATCTGGTTGAAGAAAAATCAAACATGATTCGAAAGTCACTGGAAATGCTGGAGCTTGGCCTTAGTGAAGCACAGGTAAAATTGCAGTAGAAATAAAGCATTTCAGACTTTGAATGAATTTTTGGTATAAAAAAAATAAATGAAAGATCATTATTTGACCTATAATTGGAAATTTTGAAGTAAACAGAGATCAGTTTTGAAGGACTTAAGTTTGCCTTACTGAATATTAGCAATGTGCTGGGTCATTTATGTTGTTATTGTATGTTAAGGAAAAAGACTGCTGTACTTAATAGAGGTGGATACTGGCTGTCTTGCTGTGTTACAGAACTAATTACATTCAGTATTAAGGCACTGAAGCTCATAACTGAGCTCCTCTTCACTTCAGTGAGACAGTTGCTGTTTTCTGTTTAGACTTTTCCACAGCATTAGGCAGGTAATGTTTGAGCAGCTCAGGAACTGAGCACTGGCATTTTCACTCTAAATTGTTGCATGGGGAGGTCTCACAAATAAATGAATTTGCTCCAACCTTTGAGCTCTGCCGTAACATTAAATTCATATTTTTATTCCCTTGATTCTGAGATTCTTTATAGTAGCTTACAATGCTCCTGGAGCTTAAGAATCTCTAATGTTTATTGAACATTTACTAAACAAAAATTGAATTGAAAAACATTTTAAAGGTTAAGAATCGAGTACAGAATCTGAACAACTTTCACTGATGTGTTAAAGAAAGGACTCAGCTAACTTCTGTGAACTATCTTAGTCGATGAAGGTATCGTCTGCAGAAGATGAGTGAGAAGAGGCATGCATAGTCAGGTTGTCAGGACTATATTTACAGTCCAGCTTTAGGGTATTTTGTACTAGGTCAAAAACCTGAAACAATCTGATGCGACACACTCATCACTATAAAATGGCAGAGCGCTTGCAAATGAGTTGAAAATGCCAGTGAGTTAACTTTATATTAATAGGCTTTATATTGGTCTATAACTGTGCTCAGTCTTCTCATCTGGATCGAGCTATTATTATTCAGTGATCTGGAAGTTGTATGCATTGGATCACAGTAAATTGAGGCCTGAGAGAATGAACAAATATGGGTTACCAGCCATGGGAATGTAGAACCCCTGGACATTATGGTACAGACTGTCAGGCCCTAGTATGTTGTTCAAGCTTTGATCCCTTGTATTGGAAGAAAATACTAGAAGAGATATGGAATAAAATTGCAATAGTTGAGTTACCTTTAATGGGTGTTTGCAGAAGATCTGTGAGTGAATGAGTAGCTTCTCTTTCCTAACTTTGACATGGTATTGGGACTCCAAAAAGCTAGTTCTGATTCTTGGCTCTATCAGATTCAGCAGCCTCAGTTGCAGATGTTGTTTCCTTCTTTGCCCCACGTAGTGTTTTGTGAACTGTGGTGGCGAGGAGCCAAGAAGTCTGCATTTACTGCCTTTGTTAGGAAAGCAACTGCACTTCAGACTACTACTCTCAGACCTGATAAGCCTACTCTCCCTGCACACTTTGGGTTGCAACAATGTAGTTTGGTTTTTTTTTGATTTGCAGTATTTAAATTAAGATATGGAAATATTTTATAGATGTTTTTGTGACGTGGATGTAGGTCTGATGACACATGTTATTTCCATGAAAATGAAACTGATTTTGCTGAAGAAGTAATCAAACTTTTCTTTCAGTTACTTCTAGAGAGTAAGATCGCAAAGGATTTTGGTTTGCCATTGTAGCTTGTAGAATGTTGCTTGAGTATGTTGACCCTATTATCACAACTTTCCTAAATATACTTTTTGATGTTACAAATGCCACTGTTTGAATAGGCCAAATAATTTATATTATTAACAATTTTGAATATGTAAATAGGTAGGTGCTGAAGTCTGGAGATTTGGACTGGTATTAGGAAATTACACCTGGATTTTTCTCTTCCCTTTATAGGGAAAAGTAGTTTCTAAAGGCTTGATGTATTTTTTGAAACCTGAAATTTCAGCTAAGGACACCATCCGTTTCACATTAAATACTTAGTTTAAAACCACTTCAAACTAACTTGTTTTAAAGAAACACGAAAAAGAGGAGATGAAATACTAATAACCTGGGCATGTCAAACTCATCTAAAAGAAGATTTTTATTATCACCAGTTGCCCATTCTTACAAGATGTGCTTCCTGGGATTGCTATCAGCTGTTCTACGTGTATCTAGTGGGAGATTACATAAGGAGTGAAGGGAGAGTATCTTCTGTATGTGTGTATCTTCCGTGACTCTTCAAACACATTCATTGAATGTCTGCACGCTCAAGTTTATGATATGTATATATAAAGTGCTTATATAAATTGTGTGTTCAGTTGCACATTTAGATCTCAGTAGTATAATTGTCCCTTTGAAGTATTATCGTTATGCTGAGGTGTTCACCCCTATGAACTGTAAGCATGTGTATGAATCCTTTCCTGTCTGAAAGCTGCTAAATTAGAACTCTTGTGTGTGTTCTCAGGTTATTTTTGTGATCCTTCAAGTTAAAAGTATTACTGCTCCATTTCATGTTAGAGGAATGAAGATTTCTATTTCAGTAATCTAAATCCTAGTTCAAATTTTTCATGTATTTTAATGTGATATGTAATCTTCAGGGAATTCTAAACCAATTTGACTTCTGATAGCATCATGGAAAACAATCATTAATAAAGAGTTCCTCTAGGTTAATTCTGGCTGAGCAAATGGTAAAAAAGTTTGGACGAAAAGTGAGAACTAGATATATAAAGAAGAGAAATCTGAATGTTTACCAGATTTCACAGCTGACATAGGTTTTAAATAATAAAAGTCTTTCATGTTCAATACAGAACTGCATTCAGGAGGAAGTATGTCATGTAACACCTTTTGTATTTTTAGGTAATGATGGCCTTGTCAAATCACTTAAATGCAGTGGAATCAGAGAAGCAGAAATTGCGTGCTCAGGTTCGCCGGCTATGCCAGGAAAATCAGTGGCTACGGGATGAACTAGCCAATACACAACAGAAATTACAGAAAAGTGAGCAATCTGTGGCTCAACTGGAGGAAGAGAAGAAACATCTAGAATTCATGAATCAATTAAAAAAATACGACGATGATATTTCACCATCAGTAAGTAGCTGTATAGTAAAAAGCACCTTACATTTACGTGTGGTGTAATCTGCCTGGTTACCAAGAAATGACAGATACAAGCTTTTAATTTGTCTCTAACATAAACTTGTCATTAAAATGTTTGCCTTATACCAGTGTCACATAGTTTGCAGAAAGATTCTCAGAGTTCAGTTCATTCTTATTTTAAGACAGTAAATGTTTTACTGTCTGTTGATAATTAATAAAATACTGAGGGTCAAAATGCATAAATACTTATTTAGTATCATGTTAGCTTAAAAAAAAAAAGCTGAACTTCAAGCCAAAAATTTCCTTCTGTAAATTCAACAGTTAAAATAAGTGGGAAATGTAAATTATTAGAGATTCTAAGTACATAGGGGACGTGGCTTATTTGACTGCAAGAAAAACATTTAATTTTTGTGTAGTGAAATAGATGTGTAGCTTTTATATCTGTTGAGATTTTACATTAGGATAAGGATATTACTGAATCCCCTTTCATGACCTTCTGCCAGACATCGAGATCATCTGCACGTTTTCAGTCATGTTTAGCTAGCCCATTGTGTTACTGATTCTTAGATTCAGAGAGAAAATGGATAAAACTTTAATTTACAGAAGTAACTTAGCAGTTAAAAAGACTTCTGAATTATTTGCCCTTCTTGCTATCCTTTTATTTTGTTTTCTTAAGTTAGATGGTACTGTAGAGAAATAATTCATTTTGTGTGTTCAGACCTTCTCAGCTGCATCTTGGAACGAACAGTTTTTCGTAACCAATTATTTCGGCAACATAATGGTTGAAAATGTATGCATTTTAGTCATGCTTAATTGACTGCTTGACTAAATCCTTTTTAACATATTGTGAGTAGTGAGAGTTGTTTTGGTCAGTTGCACATGGAACTTTTCAGTGCTATTTCATGAGTTGGTATTTGTAGCTGAATACTGCCAGTGAAGCCTGTTTAGAAAAGGGGCAGGAGGAAGGAATATTGGGATTTTGATGTGCTAACTGTTGAACTGTAATCTGCAGATGGCCTAAATAGCACCATTATTTGAAGTTTAATTGGCAAGTAGGGTCAAAGTAAGCAAAGTATCTTTATAGTTTCACTAACCATATGGGCAGTCTCTGTTAGCCTTTGAAAATAGTCAATTGTATATACTCAGTGTGAGGTTGGAATCAGCACACTTAAAATTATGAACTTCCCATCTGAGATCTAGTCCCATCAATCTGCTGTTTTTGGAGAGCACCCACTTTGCCACCATTGAACTTGAATGCCAGCAGCAGCAGTTGCCTTTTTCTCAACTGTGGAAAAAGGTGTTGGATGGAGAGCCAGAAAAATAGAAATGTGTTCTGCTCCTGGGTTTTCTCCTTACTAAGATTAATGTTTCTGAGAACTTCCAACTATTCATATTATGTAGCCTCCACATTTAAGAAACAGGATTGAGGGATGATCTGTTTCTTTATTTTACATGATTGTGGGATTTGGAATGATCTTTGGATGTTTAAAATCAGTATACATTGATGGATTGTACAGAAATTAATATGGTTCCAGATGGAGACTATTGGAGATGAACTTCCTTTCGAGTGTGTTTTTTCTTTTTGAACCTTACAGATCACAATTGCAAAATCTATTATTTGTGCAGAAGTTGAGTACTCAGAAATTGAGGTGACAGAATTAAAGGTGCTGGTGCAACTGCATTCTCCTTCAGGAGATGAATCTCCTTATTCTTCTCCCTTGCTCATCTATACCTGCATTTATGACTAAAAAAGTAGAGTGGACAATTCTGTATTCAGTAGCACTCACTCTTCGCTGGGTACTTTCATTAAGTATAATGTCTCTGTAAGAATAGCAAATGTGTTCTTGTCTGCTTAAATTGAGACTGAAATCTAGGAGACCTGATTTCTATTCCTGGCTCTTCTGAAGGTGTCCTGTATTGTTTCGGGACAGAGTATGTAAATACATTTGAACATAAGACCTTCATTAAACTTCTGTGAGAAATGTTATTCTTGGCAATTCCTAATTTCTGGATGTGGGGTTTTCCTTCAATGTTGCTGATTAAATGGACTGTCCCTTTATGCCTTAGATTTAAGTGTAACGATTTGTTTGGGTTTGGGGTTGTTCTATAGGAGGATAAAGATACAGATTCCACCAAAGAGCCTTTGGATGACTTATTTCCCAATGATGAAGATGACCAAGGACAAGGAAGTAAGTGCACTTCAAATTACAATGTTAGTGTATTTCTGCAGTGCAGAATATAAAGATGCTCTTTACAAAAATGAATCCATGCTTGGGGTCCTCTGGGATACAGTGGAGTGGTGAATGCCTCTGCTAGAATAAGGAAACCAGTCATTGATATACATTCTGTACATCAATATGTACAAAACTGGGGCTTAGTTTTTTAAAGAGAGTTTACTAGCTGTTGTAAAGTTCTTGGGGCTGACTTCAGTACAAAATTGGTTCCACAGTCTTTCCTGTGGGCCTCAGAATGGAAGAGGTTTGTTCCAAGTGACTAGGGCAGATTCTGAAACATAGAAGCTTTTTGATGGTCTGCCCAGATGGTGAATTCTGTTAATGACCTTTTTAATAATCTGATTTAACATTTTGGGGCAGGTTTCAGTACGCAGTCTTTCTCATATACTCTTTTCTCCTTTGCTAAGATTGTCTTCCTTAGTTTTACTACTCATTCTAGAAGTATTGTCTTCAGATCAAAAGGACTGATGAATATGCAGTGAAGTTTGAGGTAGGGGTATGGTAGTGTGGTTGATAGAAGCCGTTAATAGGTAAGGCTTGCTTAGTGAAATGTGTTTTTCATATGGGTATAAAGCTGATATTATATAATGTATTGATATTGTAGTGTATATGCAGTGTTCTAGTAGTATAATGGTTCTTAGTAGACAAATGAGTTCAGAAAAAATGTCTGAAGGGTCCCATGTTTGTAATCAGCAGAGTTTCGAATTTCCTTTATGGGCACAGATGCAAGATACACTGCATGCTTGATAGCATGGTAATGCTATCCATAGCCAGCAATGGAAGGAAGACTTGAAGGGTTTAGAATAGGTTAGTGTTGACTATGAACTCCATCCTGAGCTCATTCTTCCTTCCCTAGAATTTTGTAGTATGAAAATTGAACGGCAAAGCTGTCCCTATATCTGTGTAGCCAATCTACCTTACTTAGCTTTACAGAAGACAAAGTTGACATTTCAGTAATTTCTTTGACCTCCAGGAAAAATACTGAAATGCTTCAGTGCTTTTGTAGGCAGTGATTGTGGACGTAGGCTTGGAATTGTATGATTCTACCGACCTAAAAAGGTCGGTAGAATCACTTGCTGTGAGAGTGTATTTTGCTATTAAACAACGAGAGAGGAGAGAAGAAAGTCAGGCTCACAGCTGGAGCCCTTATCCTGTGTGTTGTCTAGAATTGAACGAAAATGAGTAAGAGGTAACTTTCTCAATCTTCCCAGAAATCTCTGAGGTGAAGAGAAAAAGGGTAGTAGATTTTTGGGGGGTGTGGGAGGGTGGGGGTTGCAACAAACAAAGGTAAGGGGCTACTGGAAAAGAAGTGGCTAACCCTGAGGGTTAGTAAGTAAAACCAAAAGGTTGATACTGGCTTTGATGACTCAGTGCCTTTTCTCTTGCAACTGTTACTAGTGGCATCCAAGGTGTTTTAATCCTTTATGTGCCAACCTTAAGTATTCCTTGGTGTCGCAAACAAAGGAAAACAAAAAAAATTTGTATGTTTAGAGAAGGAGAATGAAGGAAAAAGGACAAATCATTCAAGCTTTTCTGCAGGTATTTGGCTTGTCTGTGTTAATGTTCCTTTCCAGAGGGAAATGTCAATATTTGTAAGTGCAAAATTGTGATATAATCTTGAGAATTGTTAATGATTCGCTGAGCTGAAATAGTTTCCTACTTTCTTCATTGGTTTATTACATTTGGCCCTTTGAGCTAATAGAAGTGTAAAATAATATTAATCCAATACTGGACAGAGTATGAAGAATAAAATGGTCATATTTTCACTGTCACTGTTCAAGACATCATGACTGCTGTGAAGTGTGTTCTAATACTAATGCTTTGTATTGAAGAAATAAAATTCAGTGAGTCTCATTTTGTGTCATTGAGCAGTAATGTTAGATGTTTTAGTTACAGTCATCTTTTAAACAACTTGAAATCTTGCGGATTTCTTTCAGTTCAACAGCAGCATAGCAGTGCAGCAGCTGCTGCCCAACAAGGTGGTTATGAAATTCCAGCAAGATTAAGGACCCTTCATAATCTTGTTATTCAGTACGCTTCCCAAGGTAGATATGAGGTTGCTGTACCTCTCTGTAAACAAGCTCTTGAAGATCTGGAGAAGACTTCGGGTCATGATCATCCTGATGTTGCCACTATGTTGAACATACTTGCTTTGGTGTACAGGTTTGTATACTGACATAGATAAATATCAGTTAAATAAATAGTTAATATTTGGTTACAACCTGTTAATGTTCAGACTAACATTTTTTTGACTGTTGTATTATTTGCCCTATTTTTTATTAAAATCCTCAAGAGGGTCCTGCAATATTTATATGTCTTCCTGTACTTAAAAGTCAAACAAGTTGCTGCATTTTTGCCTGTGCCTTTGTTTTGGCAGTGAAGCTGGTTTTGAGACTTTTTTTTTTAATTTGTCTACTGAGGGGGCATGTCTTGATTACGCACTTACAGATAATCTAGAGGTATAAATTGGACAGCAGTGTAGAAGTAGTACATGCTAGTCCTTACCCAGCATGCTACTTTACAGTTACAGCTTCAGGTTTTTAATTCCTGATATCTGAATATATTCTCAATTACTCTTCTTTTGTACTAGCATCTTTAGGCCAGTACTGAAGTCAGCTTCATTTTTATGACTTTCTTTTCTGAATCCCCAGTATTAATCATGACTCTTTAAAATTTAGAGACCAGAACAAATATAAAGACGCAGCAAATCTCCTGAATGATGCCTTGGCTATCCGCGAAAAGACTTTGGGCAAAGATCATCCAGCGGTTTGTATACATGCAATATCGTATTCTTAGTTGTGTTTTTCACTGAATTATTTTCAACTCATTTTAATATTAAACTCAACAGGAAAGTTGTTAAGACCTGGCTTATCTCTAAACAGTACAGGTAGGAGGCCACAATATAACATTCTCTGTTTTCTCTTAAATATTTAAGGTACCTTTTGAGCATTGTATTCAATGCTGTTTCACCACAAATGACTTGCACATACTTGATCTCGGATTGCATGGATTTTCTATGGGAAATTAATTTGGGAAGAAAGATTTTAATTTGCTTACTCAAATCACTTGATTAAACTCAAATTGAAGGTGTACTTCTGATTTGTTTTACTGCTGCGTTTAAATGAAATGTAATAATCAAGCTTTTGTACTTAGTGTTTAAAATTAACGTGATATCTCACTTCATGTAGCCTGTGTGAAGCAGGGCAGCTCTGAGTATAGATGTGAGAGGTAACTTTATAAGAGAAGAACGTAATCTATGCACTAAATGAAATTTCCACAAATGAAGCAAAAATATTTTGTGATTTTGGTTTTTTCCTTTCCTCACTTGTGTGTGTATGCATTCAACAATAATTATTTCTTCATTTGCAAATTTCAAGAGGTCTACCCTGTGCATGGAAAATTTGAAAACATCAATGCATTGCAGATGTGTTCATTTGTTAGATATTTCTATTGGTAAATTCCAGTGTAATTAATATTTCTCTACTGTTGACAGGTGGCAGCAACTCTAAACAATCTTGCAGTACTTTATGGTAAACGGGGGAAGTACAAAGAAGCTGAACCGTTGTGTAAGCGAGCTCTGGAAATCAGAGAAAAGGTATGAGTAAAAGAATACAGCACCTCTGAGTGGATTTTTTGAGAGAGGAGGCAAAGTTAAACACTTTTTTTTTTTTTTTTTGATGTTTCGGTTGGGTAGATCTGCCAGATAACCACAGAGTTAGCAATGCCTTAGTAGTTAGCAGTGTCTGAAATTGAAAACAGTAGTAAATTCCAGTAGTCCTGTGGAGCTGTTAGAGCACTCTGGATATACTATAAATTCTGTATTTTGTAATTAACCTTCTTTACGTTTTTCTTTCCCCTTTGATAGTTAAGTAATCTCTGATTTGACAAGAGCGTTGGAATTAAAAATGAAACATCATTAAAAATTTTAAGTTGATTATTCTATGACTATGTGGATATTTATTCTAGTCCATGAGACTGAATGCCTGCATCTTTCAGGCTTCTTTGTATGATATGCTGCATATAATGTTATTATACTACTTACTTTATTCCTGCTACAAATTGTTCTGCAGCATTCTCAGTTTGTAATAGAATTGAGCAATTTTCATATCGTTCAAATGCAAATTTTGCTTTTGTCATCCTCATGTTGAATTGATGAGGAATAAAAACTAACGGGGTATTTCTAAATGATGCATTTCTAAACCCTGATATGATGATTGGATAATGTTTTAATTCAAGGTATTTCATTTTCAGGTTCTGGGGAAAGATCACCCTGATGTTGCCAAACAATTAAATAATTTGGCTTTACTATGCCAGAACCAGGGTAAATATGAGGAGGTTGAATACTACTATCAGAGGGCACTGGAGATTTACCAAACTAAACTGGGACCAGATGATCCAAATGTTGCAAAAACAAAGAATAACCTGGTAAGCCTTTTATAAAGTAAATAAAAGAAAAAGTAAAATTTCTGATTAATTGAAATGCACCTTTATTCAGCATGTATTGTATTTATTATTTCTCAAGCTAAATAAAACAGCGTGCTGATATATCTCTTTGGGGGTATTTTGTTTTCAGGCATCCTGCTATCTAAAACAGGGCAAATTTAAGCAAGCAGAAACTTTATACAAAGAGATTCTTACTCGTGCTCATGAACGGGAATTTGGCTCTGTAGATGGTAAGAAACAGTCCCTACATTTGAATGTATGTTTCACTTTCATAGTTACTATGAAATAAAATCTGCAGGAAGCTAATTGTATCCTGATTAAGTTTACCTCAAGCAGAAAACAATCTTAGAGTGAGATTATAGATGCGTTGAAGTACATTCATCATAAGAAAGCATTTAGATACAGCAGTAACATTTGATTCAAAAGGAGAGTTTTTCTTACGTGAGGTAGACTTGGTAGGTTTGTTTTATGGATTGTTATTTCTGGCATAATTTCTTATACCCAACCAAAACCAATTTTGGTATTTTTGTAGAGGCAGAAAAATGTATGTCACTTTCCAGTCACAGGAAAAAGTCAGTGCAGGTTTTTTAACGATATGATATATACGTTGTTAATATGAGTCCTCCATTAATACATTTAAAGAATGGGGAAAATACCCTTAAATTGTGAACTACATGGTACATTGAAGTCAAATGCATTTTATCAACTATACATCACAGTGAAGAATTTTCATTGCATTCCGTGACAGTAGCATATGCACCACTTAGTAGATGTCAAAACAGTTGTTACGATAAAAGAAATAAATGCGTGTTTTCAAGCACAGAACTAGGCACGTGACAAATTGATGACAGCATATACTGACTTCAGAGCTTCTCAGAAGTAACTGTTTCTAAGTTCAGATAAGAAAAGACAGAACTGTAAAACTATAAAAGAAGAGGTGCATGTTTTATTTATCTGCTGCTTGTAGTATGGACAGTAAGCTTTTTTGTAGTTGTAATAGTATAATTCTCTGGTTCACAACTTCAGAAGGGTGAAAATCAAACAATGAATACTTTGTAGTTTTGTACTTCTATAAAATATTTTCTTCTGTTTCATCAGATGAAAATAAGCCTATTTGGATGCATGCGGAAGAAAGGGAAGAATGCAAAGTAAGGCCATTGTCATAAATCTTTTTTGGAGCTTTTACTATTTAAGTTACAAATCAGTTACTTTTCTTCAATGTTACTTTTGTTTTAGGGAAAACAAAAAGATGGCACATCTTTTGGAGAATATGGTGGCTGGTACAAAGCTTGCAAAGTTGACAGGTGGGTAATTTCTTTACAGGACGAACAACGTGGTAATACCCAGTATCCAGAAATGTCAGATTAAAGCATGTTTAAAACTGAAACCAAACCAGCTGCTTGCCTTAGGACTATGAAGACTATAGTCTTAAAATTTCAGGTCCCAAGACTGGGTTTCAGGAACACAGTGGCAATTTTGAAGTCCTGGGGCTGCTTTTAATCTAGGCTGGTTAGATCTAGTAAGTGACATAAAAATTCACCACTTGTGTTCTTGGCAGTCCTTCACGTGGAAGCATAGGTCACCTTTCTTTCTTTTTATACTGCTGGTTGGCATACGTGCTCTCCCTGCCCCAGCAATACCTCTAGAGAGGGCCAGAAGCAAAAAGGAGACTGTGCAAATAACTGAGCCTTGAGTTTTCCAGCTGGCACAAGAAACAAAGTTAAACTGCCACGATTCAGCATTATTTGAGTTTCTAAAGCTTGAAAAATATAGTTTTGTGTGAATGAAAATGTGTACCTTAAAATGGAAGAAGAGAAACAAGGACTTCAGCTTGGATTATGCTTAGTGAAATATTTTTTGTTTGCTTTAATTTTGCTCATTAGCTGCCTTTTTTTTTTTAACGTGCAGGTGGTACAATGTAAGAAAAAACCTGCACCTAGTACTGATAATATTCAGTGAGGGTTTTTCGTTTCTTCAGTGTTTGAATTCTTGTATTTAACAAGCAATAGAACCTTTGTACTGTTGAAATCTGCTCTTTTTTTCTCCATCCTGAACTCTGGGTGCAGTACACTTTGGTTTGTTTTTCATGTACTAGTTCATTCTAATGCATGAGGAAATCTTTTCTCTGCTGTTACTGGAGCAAAACTTCAAGCAACAATACTGTGACTGAGCTAATTCTCAGTGTGTCATTGAAACAAAAATGTCTTGTTGGAGTGTGAGACTTGTTAATGGAATATGCGATATTTTTTTTTTCCCTTTATTGTTCAAACGTAGTTTGAATGCATAGAAACTGCAAATGGGTACTAAGTAAAAGCTGATGAAAGGAACGGGTAATTGGTTTTGTGACTAACATGCTACAGTAATGGTCACTGTATGAATGAGTAGACATATTTTCTGGAAGCTTCACAGTTATTCAGTTGGACACACTCAGATTGAGCTAAATTTTCACCTCGAGATGCTTCTGAGAAACACAAGGATCTAGCACTCCGGTTTTCTCTTGAGTAGATCTAGAGGCTAGTTACTAACTTCCAGTTTCAGGGCTGTTGACTAATCATAGTGTGAGCCATTAATGCACATTGAAAGGGGTTAACAGGGTTTTCCATGTATGTGAAGTACAGTATAGTATATTTCAAGGGAGACTTACTAAATAATTACAAAAAATATGATAAATACTATATTAATTTAAGTTTTTATTAGTTTGTGAATTGAGAAGAGTTGAATGTGTGTGTGTATATAAATATATACTTTTTTTTTCTTTAAATAGCCCAACAGTAACAACTACCTTAAAGAACCTTGGGGCACTTTATAGACGGCAGGGCAAATTTGAAGCTGCTGAAACATTAGAAGAGGCAGCAATGAGATCTCGTAAACAGGCAAGTATGAAAATTTGCCTTAATGATATTTCTGCACTGTGGTCATGCAGATTGTCAACTTCAGTATCTATCGTACATGCAGAATATATAAACTTTTAGCTATTCGGTGTCTGGTGCCTGGTGTCGCCCTCTAATTTCAGTCTTAACTGGTGATAAACTGATACCATCTTAACACTTGCAAAACGGTTAATTGCTAGGGCAGTGGCACCATGTACCAGGGGCATGATTGAAATTGGGAGTGAAATAATGTGGAAAACCGAAGAGCAGAAAACGCTGCAGTGGCCAGCAGTCCTCTGGTGGCCAGCAGTCCTCAGCTGGCTACAGCTCCTGGGAAAGAGACTGTAGCTAGGGGAAAATTGAGAGTTTCTGTTGATAATCTCCTTTGCCAGTAATGCTGTTCTACTTCTAATAAGGAGCTGTCAAACTTACAAATGTTCTGTTTCTGCATATGACTGACTGCGACTGGTGCAGACCTTCAGAAGACCATTATAAATTTACCAGTTGTTGTTTCTGTTACTTTCGCAAGCCGATGGGATGGATATTACAGTTTAAGGGGGGGACTATTATTCTTTTAACGTGGAGAAGTTCTGTGCTGTCTCTGTGCTCTCAAATCCGTAACCCTTTCTCACAGTCTTAGAAGGTGGGGAGAGAGTTTGGTTTTGTTGGGGTTTTATTGGCTTTTTGTTTTTCCTTTCCCTTTTGGATGATTTGATACAATGTCTTTCATAGAAGAGCTGGACAAGCAAACATGGCTTGTCAGTCAGTGTTAAAATGGAAAGTAAAATAAGAAAATATAAATGAATAAAAAAAAAAACCTTGGAAAGCTCAATTTTAATTTTGTTTTTATGCAATAGTAAATAAGATTTGTATTTTTTTCAGAAGTGGTTTGTCTTGTGGTTTTTTTTTTCCTTATATGTCCATGTAAAATTCTAAACTCAAATTCTAAATTGAAGTAAACTGACTTAGGTGATGGGTCATATCTTTATTGATAATGTACTGTTTTTTATTTAGTTATACTGATTTGAAGTTGTATTTTGAAGAATGATAGTGCAGTGTTTGTATATAGAAGCAGATTTCTGGAAAAGGGAGAGAGCAAAAAAGTTCCTGGCAAACCTCGTGCTCTTCTAGTGAATTCAGCAACAGTTCCCTTTGATATAAGGTGGCATAAGTTCTTCCTTCCACAAAAAATGATGGAAAACTTGCAAGTGTTTGCCAAATAAATGGAACGAAACTGGTAAGCGAAAAGTATGAATCTGGGAGAAAAGTTCTTCAGAAAGGAAAATTCAAGGGTGGTGGTGGGGAATAGCCGATACAGATGCTTTCTTTTACTGAGGATGATTTTCACATACTTTTACTGAAGGTTCATTTTTGGTGTGTGTCTCATTCAAATGTGATTTGAAGATAAGTGAATGTGCACTGCATCTTAACATATTCGCTTTGGTTCTTAGTTTTACTGTTGCCATTACACGTGATAATTTTTTAGTGTGAACAGATAACAACCAGGATAAATTGGTGTAATATAATAGTAATAAGAAGACTGGAAGAAAACTTAGCTTGTAGTTATGTTTATTTCCTTTTTTTATATAAAAAACCAAAACAGAACACCAATTTCTCAAGTTCAAATTTTTACTGTGAAGCTTGGAATTGATTATTTGGGAATTATGGGAGGATCTTGCTATTGGAGAAGTCTCTAATTTTGGAGTCGCTATTTAATCAGTCCACTTCTGGCTTGCCAGTACCGCTGGAAAAACTGTACCTTGTCTCCATTTTCCACAGAGCCTGCTGGAGGCTTGCTGCTGCTACTTTATTTTTATTAAGCATGCTTCAGATTTTCATTGGTGCATCATATACCACCTATACCATTATACCGTAATATATCACATTACACACAGCACTGGATTTGGACATGTAGGAAACAATGCTGTCTTACTAGCAGCATTTAACACTACCTTTCTATTCTAGGTCATTAAAGTAAAGGAGGACGGACAGGGTTAATGCATGTCCCCTTTTGAGCTAAAAGCAGAGAGGTACTTTTGTTGCCAGGTGTGGAAAAGCATTAGTCCTCCACAGCTTTGTTCTCCTTCATGCATTTTTTTTGTTTGCTTTAGCTGCTGGGATGTATATGCTAGATTTTTGAAGACCAGTGAAGTTTTGTCCTTCATCTTTCATGACAAGAATCGAACGAACCAGGAAAGTGCAGTTCCCTGTCCCTTGTGGTTTTTTTTTTTTTTAACATGTGAGGTAAATGAGAGACAATAGCTTTGGAACAGAGCCTAGAGGTGGTTTATGTGATACATCACCTCCTCAGTGATGATTTTAAATAATTTTATACTTTTTGTGTTCTGTGCTGGTAAAGGGTTTGGTGCAAAAGCCATTTTGGGCTTACGCTTCTCTACTGTCTGAGAGCTCTAGCCACTTTTCTGCACCGTACAGCCACGTGGAAGTGAAAATAAATGATCATTACATGTTGGTTTCATGCTTCCTTGTAGAATTCCATTAGGGAGGGCTGTTCTGCTCTTCAGTTAGTGGAAAGCAGCGATGAGGGAACCAGGAACCTGATTTCTCCATGCCACTAAAACAACTTTCATTCTTATTCATGCACTTTACTTAAAAGTAAAATTTTGGCATGATTTTCACTTTCTGTATTGTGGTAGACTTTATTGATTTGTTGCACAGATCCCCTGCTGCATTTGCTGCTAACACTGCACAGTGAAAGATGCAGAGTATTTTCTTACGTGTAAGGCATTCATGTGGGATCTCTTCCTGTCAACAAATACCGTTTATTATGTGGAGTAGGTTTATCATAAAGAAAACAAAACTGAAAATAAGTATGACTTGAGCTTTGTTACTTTCTAGTTTCTGTGTTAAAGATTTTGCCTTTATTTTTAGTGCAGGGTTTTCACAGAAGGTGTTTTAGCACTTTTAAGATATTTAAAGGATTATTTGGTAATTGATGGGCATTCTTTAACACAAAGTAAATGTATTTTATTGACCATATATCTAGTCTGTTCTATTATAAGTTCATTTTCTATTTGACTTCTTTCTGAAGGATAATTTATACTACTGTGCCAAGTGTCATATGTCAGTATTTTCAAATAACGCAACCTATGTCTTAGGTATTAGACAGTCAGACACCTGCAACATTCTTTCCAAAGGTGGGTGAATACTGCACCATTTGATAGGTGGAAAACTGAGAATTCCATGGACTGTTCATGATCTATAAATTGCTTAAATATTAAGCTGGTGGCCAAATGGCTTCAGGTGAGTGACATAAACACCATGAGGCTTTGACAAGTGCTAGGGAAGGAGGAAAAGAATGGCAAGTCACTGAATTCTCAAACTACCAAACTGTCCGTTCACTTCATGCTATGTTGATTCCTGCAATGTATAAAGGACAACTCATCTTGACTGCCCTTTGAAGGCAGAATCAGGGAAATGGAGTTACGGGTTTGATTGACTTCTTTCTTGATACGGTTATTATGTGTAAGTTGTAGATTAATACAGCTCGTAATAAAATAAAACCTTTTCCTATTTTACCTAATTCTCAGGGTCTTGACAATGTTCATAAACAGAGAGTTGCTGAAGTGCTGAATGACCCTGAGAGCATAGAAAAAAGGCGAAGCCGAGAAAGCCTCAATGTTGATGTGGTAAAGTACGAGAGTGGTCCTGATGGAGGCGAGGAAGTGAGTATGAGCGTAGAATGGAATGGGGTAAGTACAGTACACAGTTTAAGAAAATAGCCTAGATAAATTATCACCATAACAAATACGGTTGTCCATTCACCAGCCTATTGTGTTTTCAGTAGTTTCTTGGTTGATCTACTTTGTATTTTGTAATTTTGCAGAATCAATTAAGAAATGAAGAGTAACATTTTGTTTTTCATAACATGTAAAAAATTGTAATATTTTAAAATTTTAAAACATGCTTTCTGTTGTTGTCCTGAATGGTGAAATTTCTTCAAGAATCCCAAGCAGTTGCATTTAAGTTGTTTAATGCTGATTGAGTGTCCTGGTTATGGTCTGGTATACAATTGCTTGTCAGTGGTTTCCTTTTACTGGTAGAAATATTCTGGCAATTAACTTACTTCTGCTTTTGTCCTTTTGATGCCATATTTGCCCGTATTTTACATGTTTCTTTAAAAACACTGCATCTGTTGGAATCACGAAGAACATCTGCTCTGGAGATGTATTAAGTGTTAGCAGTTTTAGAGTAAATTAAAGTGATCAGTCTAACACTAAAATAATTCCAATCTCCTCCTTACCCAACTTGCTAGAGGAAAGAACATAACTTTTCAAGCTGCTGTACAACCCATTTTAAGAGGCAGTGCCATCACATAACAAGGTGATAGTAACTTCACATTTCTTAAGTGAAATATTAGTATCACTTTCCCGTATTAGAATTTGACTGGAGTCAGGGCTTGTTCCTATTTGTTTCCCATATATTGGCTTCACTGTATAACACTGATTGTCATAAAGTAAAAACATACATAATGTGATTACATATGCATTTTTCTAACCATTGTTTTCCTTTGTTTGAAAGACAGTGGAAGAAGCTTTCAGTTATTGATCTGGCTTATATAGTTGTTTGCTTCTGTCACCAGCTTTCCCATGCTTTATCCCATTGCCAGCAATGGGATACATATTGCACTGTTAACTAACTCCCAGCTGTAGTTCTGCTGAAAATATTCTGTTAGGTTATAAAAGTGCTGTTGCCTGCTTTTGCTGTATGGGAGGGGAAGTAGCCTACTTTGCAATATTGAGTGTTCTGAAGTTTCATTTCTCTTACAACAGCTATATTTTTTTTTCCTTTCTTTTTTTAGCCACATGAGACAAAGTTTAGCATTCCAAAGAAACCTTGATAAAACACATACTACTTTAGTCTTAAAGGAGAATGTTCTTTTCATCTTTGCTTTTGTCTCTTTATTATTGTTTTCTTGGCATTGGTGTTTTCAGTGCCAAGACAGTCAATCAGCATCTATTGTGAATAATACTGCATCATTAATAAAGCTGAAGTAAGGTTGGATAACACTTTTCTTAATTCTCATTTTGCCCATTCAGCGTTAGAACTGTGTACTGTACTCCTCCCTTAATTTTCGCTGTAATTTGCATGACTATATGTTCTAAATGGATTAAACTTCTTTCTGTTATTGACATTAATTAAACAAGCATGCAGGTTTTGGATTGAAAAGGCCTTCTGGAAAAGCAATAGACAGTATTTCTAGGTCAATATTTGAATCAAACTCTGATAAAATTTGTTGATCTGAAAAATTAAATTTTGACCTGTCAAGGCAAACAAACTTTTCATTTTTAGTGTGCTGAAGTGGCATTGCTTTATTCTCGTCTTCATTATTTCTTTCCCCCCCCCCTCTTAAGAGAAGGTATTTTGTATTACATCTATTACATAAAGTGGGCAACTCACTCTCCCTCTACCCTGCTAGTGTTTCTATCTTAGTGCTGTTCTTCCCTCTACTTTATATCATGTAGTTTTTTTTACCCTTGTGTGTTCCCTCCAGACAAAATATTCTGATTCATAAAGTATAGTAGAATTTTTTTTATCAGGCACATACTTTGTGTGCAGAGCCTGAAGAGAGGCCTGCCTTTTCCCTTTAAATTCTTCTGAAGTGGTCAAGCTGGCTTACGTTCTTCGCTGTCAGAGAATAGGTGGCGTGTGTAAAGCAACAAACTTCAACGAAAAAACTATGTTGGAAGATTTTTTTGTAATTAAGTGACTTCCATATGGAGTGTAATCACTATTAAGCATTGTATGCTTTGATGTAATGTCTTACATTCTTACAAAAAGAACTGAAATGGAAGTAAATCTCTTATTAGCATGTTCATTTTAACAGTTAAGTGAGGTTGTGTAGTGCATGTTTACATGTTTCATCTAAAGTCCATCCCTTAAAGTTAAGCGAAGATACTTGAAAATGCAAAGAAATACTTTGTCTTAAAAATTCAAGGTAGAAATCTCAAGATTTTTATCCCTTACTTTGTCTGTGTATTAAAAATGACAGTGGGTATCTGTAATGGGCACTTTTGATCTTGCAGCCAGTTGGAGGACAGATAAAAATCTTTGTGGTATGATAGTGTTTAAGATAATGTTTTTAGTGTGAGGAAGTATCTTTTATTATTCTAAACCATGTGCTTCAAAAAGACAAGCTTTCGGGCACATCAGTCCACATTCAGGTGTGAAACAAAAGCAATAAATTTCACTACCATAGACTAACTGGTAAGAGTTGCTCTTGGTTAATAAAAGTGTCAGTCAGAGCAGCATTGTAGCAGACAACTACAAAGTACAGGAGATGACGGTGGGGAGGTGTAAGCAAAAGCAATAAGGTGACTCTCATTCTGAGTGACATAAAAATTGGCAGTTAATCTTTGCCATAGAAATGGATATCTCTGATCTTTTGTTTGTTTGTTTACACTGGATTTAAGAATTTTTTTTATCCTAAGCTCATGTTTTAAAGGTGTTTTGTTAATCATGCAGTCAGTGTTTAACTTGGAAGTTCAGTGGTTTTATTTCGGATTTGAAATACCCAAAAGCTTGTCTGCTTATTCCTAATGTGCTAGTTAGCATAATAAAAGGTATACTCTATATCTACCAAATTTGTCTTGCCTTTGTTCATTGGTTCATTATCACTACTATAGCATCACTGGTTTCAGACCATAGGAATAATTAGCCTTTTCACTGATCTAACACTTCCAATTGGAATTTAGACTTCAATTTATTCAATTCTGCAAAACTGAAGTCTATTTTTTTAAAAGTGTGAACAATATATGCAATTCAGTTTGAAACATAAATACTCGGTTAGGTTTTGATCTTCTAATCACTTGGTAGCAAGGCATTTTGGCATTTGCGAGCATAATTTTAATTACTGTTCATTCCAGTTGCTATAGGTAAAGGTTCTCAAAACTGGTATCTTAAGACTATCAGTAATGGTTTCTGTACTTAGCACTGAGAATGGAAAGCATGTAAATTGAATCACAGCTTATATTTAAAGGTGGATTCTTTCAGCTGCCTCACTGCATTAGGGAAAGTACAGAAGTTTCCAACTGGATAATACATATAGACACAGATATGTTCTAAAAAATACTCGTGAGGTCAGTTAGATTCTAATTCCTTAAAGGAATGAACAGAATTTTGTCTGGAGGTTAGGGGAAGACCTCTTTCTTCTTGCAGTTTTGTTTTGAGGAAAATTCCTGACAGAAGTTAAAGCTGAAATGAATGCACCTTGTTCTGTTCCTTTCTTCCTTTTTTTTTTTCCTTTATTTTTATTTTTGTGTTAATGTCAGCTGGAAAAAAAATCCTTTGTTTGTTTACAAAAGGTAATACTAAAGCTATTCCTTTTTAAAGGTGTTTTGTATTTTACACAAATGCTAACTTAAAGAATGCACAGCATCGTTCATGCCTGTTTGTAAGTCGCATATTAGTTATATAGGTGAAACTGTATAAAGATGTACCTTCTGGTAATTGCAAGGGCCTGCTCTTTGTACTTAAGGGCAGTCCAAATACTTAACTCTGGAAAAAATTGTTTTGAATGTGACCTAGAAATACTGTAAACGTAACTGTTCAGAATTGAAAACTGTTGAATTTTTCCCAACAGTTTCATTCAGTTTTTCTCTCTCCGTTTCTGACAGGCCTAGATGCCTTTTGTGATTCTTATACTGTCTCCTGCATGACGGGCGTGCACCATCTTCAAGCTTTAACTTCTCTCTTCAGTACTGACTGCTGTGTTTTAGCAAACCCCTTGAGATTCTTGTCAGAGCTACACTTCCCTGTAAACTGGCCATTCCTTCAGTGCTGGTGTCTTTTTTTGGTTTTTCTATTTCTGTACATGTGTAGCTTTGCCAGATATGTATCTAGTCATACAAAATGTTACTACAACCATTTGCTGTGTAATACATTAGTAAAAAAAAAAAAACAAAAGTAACAATGAACTTTATAAGTAGCTGCTCACTATGGAAAAAAGGTAGTTAAAAGTATCACACAAGGTATTATTGAAATGGCATGATGGTGATCTTTACAGGAGAAAACCAAACCAAAACCCGTAACAGTAAGGCATGTTCTCCAAGTGCTTTAAAATGTATTTAGAGACCTATTACATGGTTAACATCACTATGGAACTCTGGATGTCTTCACTTATGATTATTCTAAAGTAGCATTGCTGTTTAGTCTTTGTGTGAGATTTTGGCAATTATGCTTTTCTCTACTAATCTTGGTGTTCAGTGATTTGTGTATTTGTCTTTCTAACTTCTAATAAACTCACTCCAACTCAGGTGTCTGTCTTTGTCTGCTTAGTAGTACTTTACTTTCTTCTTTTACAACTCTTCTTTCATAATCACGTAGGATTTCTATGAAGTAGGAAGTGGTCACTTCTAATCTTACTAAACTGTTGGGTTTTGTTTTTTGTTTTCAGAGTAAAACATTTGAAAATAGAATTGTGGTCAGTTGGAAGTTTCTTTGGATCAGCATAGCAGTGTAAAACATGAATGTGATGTACGAAAAATTCATTTCATCATGTTTTACATTTTCTTTGAAAGTTAAAATGAAGCATAGGAATTTAACCATACATGTTTCTGATCAGAAATATATTTGTTTAAGGATGTTAGGATTAAACAAACATGTTTGCAAGTAATGTAGATGTTTAGAAAAAATAAAACAGTTTTTTCTTAGACTCTGATGGAATGCTTTTGCTTGGGGCTTGTACTCTGTTAACTACAGTGCGCTCATATGAAATGGTAACATGGTGATGGTGAATTGTTTGACTACTGTGGTGGGGTTTTATTAATTGTTATGAATCATGGCTTGAGCATGTCTTCATACTTTAGAAATCTTTGCTACAGTTTGGAAGGAACCCTTTTGTTTTGGTAAAGTTATAGCTGTATCATATTCTGTGTTTAGGTAATTGTACCAAGTATATATTAATAGCAATTTAAAAAAAAAATTTTCATCAATGAAATGTTTTTGAGCCAGGCTTGGGGGAGGGCGACAAACTCTTGCACTTTCACATTTGTTCAATTTTTTTCAGGATGGCACTGGATCTTTAAAACGCAGTGGTTCCTTTAGCAAACTTCGTGCTTCCATTAGACGCAGCAGTGAGAAGCTGGTTAGAAAGCTGAAGGGAGGAAGTTCACGAGACAGTGAACCAAAGAATCCAGGGTAATTATCTATTCTTAGCTGTGCTGGTGTGCCCTCGTTCTGTGCCCCCCCTGTAGCCTAGTGCAGTACCTACGGCAGTGTTTTCTTCTCTGCTTAGCTAATCGCATATCGTATAGATTTATATCTTAAAGAAAAATAAAATAGGAAATAATTTCTTAAACTTGCAATGAAAGTTCTGTAACATCTGAGGAATTATATTTGCTTTTAAGAGTTAACTCAATTTTAAGTGTTTTTTCCCTTTTTACTACTTTAGCCACTTGAAGAATACAAAAGCCTCATAGAATTACTGATAAATGTTAGTTACCTGCAAAATTCTCCTTTTCACACAGCAGTGAAGAATAATAAATGTTACCGATTTTTACAATAAAAGCTTGAATACAGTAAACGTACAACTAACATTCTTGATATAGCTTAATATCTTGATATATTCTTGATATAGCTTTATATATTGCTGTGGGTATAAAGAGAATTACTGATTTGAGCCCGTCTCAGTTGCTATTTTTGGAAAACCCAGATTTCAGAGAGCAGAGGAAAATGCTGAATAACTTGAACCTACTTGTGCATCTCATTAACATTTTGGCCTCTGTGAAGTCAGTGGTAAAAATTCAAATTCTAACGAATCTGACTTCTCACTCTTTCCTGTTTACCATATGGTTATGGATTTGGATGTATGTAATATTTCTAATAAATGCATAAAAACACGCATAATTTATTGGCTGCTGCAGAGAAGTTGAAGTGTTAAAATGTACTACTGTTTTTCATAATAGCACTCGTGGGTGTGCCCCCTCACCCCCAACATCATTGCAATCAGTTTTGCAGGTTTTTTCCCCCTTGCTGTGGAAAACTGGAACTCATTTAGTTGACAGGAACTGTATCACAATGTGAATTTGAACTTAGGCTTTAAACAGTTAAATGGGAGAACTTGGATTAACTTCTGATGGAGCAACTGGATCTATGAGTGATATAGTAGATGATGATGATAATCTGGTAATATCTGAGACAGTGATCCGGAGGCAGGGTCTCAATGTGTTTTTGTAAGTGCTCCAACGAAGTTTTGCCTTACTGTTTTTATGCCGCTGTAAAACATTGTGTACAGCTGCAGTACATGTAGAATTCTCTTCCTCGTGTATCTGTTTCAAATTCAGCCTGAACTTATTTTTAGAATTGTTAATTAAAATTTCACTGTCAGCTGCCAGAGGCTTGATGTTGAAGGCACTGAATCAAATGCAAGGTCAAAAATCCCTTTGCATTTATTGATACATCATTAAGAACTACCTCTGAGATGATAGATTGGGAGTAAACGATGAAAAACATGTAACTAGAAGAAGGAAATATGTTAATGTAAAATGCTTTAGAGAAAACAAGCAAATGCAAGCAAAAACAGAATAAAAGGGATTTCCGTCTTTGTCTTCAGTATTAGCAGTTTTATACGTTGGTTTCTGTTTCTATTCAGCTCTGTCTAGAGTTCATCATAGTTCAGGTATATACTTGTATGAATAGATGCATATATTCATACCTAATTTTGAATTTTCTCCTCATTTTTGTGAGACATGGAAAGGTTTTCAGTTTCGTAAAAGCGAAGAGTTTTATTCCTTGTTCTCTGTAGTAAATAGAGCTAACTTTTTCTGCAGGTAAAGTAACTCTGTGATTATAGGTGTAGAAAATTATGCTTATGTATAACTGAAGACATTTGGCTTTGCAGTGTCCTGTAAGAACTCCTCTCCCTTTTTATTGTCTGCACTTCGGTAGTGCTATTTGACCAACATAGAAGTAATCGACCCACATTAACAATTATATTGTGGGGTCTGTATCACCAGATGAGATTTCCTCAAATAAAGACGTTAATGTGAAACAAATTTGAAAACAAAGCAGTATCTTTCTTGCTTTCCCTTTTTGACAAAATATTCTTGTTTTTTAGATGTGTCTGTTGTTCTCAAAGAATATTTATTCTTAAAGCTTGCAATAAGTGTATTGCAGTGGCAGGCTTTTATGTAGATATGTTTGCTGAGTGTGTAAGACAATAAATATTACAGTATCTGTTCTTGTAAGATACAGACATTTTTTAATCCTAATTTATATTTGCATTTGTTATTAAAGCCAGCTAAGACTCCTGGTATTAAACACCAGCTTTGTAGATCATGAAGCATAGCTGTACATACTGATACTCCAAGAAGTAATTCTGATTTCATTTTCTGAAGAAACTTTAATAAATTAAGTAATATTAATTTAGTAAGTTAATTTTTTTCCCTGCTTCTGAGCTTAATAAAAGGGATATTCAGTTTTTATTATGCAAACCTTTGTTTTTTTAGCGTGTTTGATAGCTGAATATTACAATACTGACATAGCATACATAGAAATCATTTTTGCTATGAAGTCAGCCACTCTAGGTAGAAGACTTACGTGCCTCCCTCCTTACCCATACACCTCTGCATTCCCTGCCTATTGCTCTATGAAGACTTTATTTTGAAATTGATTTACACCTGTTGCTTATACTGTGCTTCTGTAAATAGTAACTGACAGTGCTGGTACGATCCTGAATGAGAAATGCTCCCATAGAAATACAGTAACATCCCAGCATGAAAGAAAGACTTAGTTTTCATGTTGTTGCTTGATACAGAAGGTTGAAGAGAATGAAGTGGAAAACTCATCAGGGAAATTGTTTCTTTAAAATCGTGCAAAAGCCTTTTTGACAAAGAACAAATCTCTTAAGAACTATTCTTTGAAACATACAATACCTGAAGCATGGTATCACTTCTTTCTTTCTTTCCTTACCGTATTTCAGAATTGAGTTCTGCAATAATTTAACTTCGCTAGTGTTAGGTTTGATTTTTCTCTTTTAATATTTGTGCAGTCATGTTTCTAACATGGAAGGAATTAAAAGTGCATTTCTTAGACTAAAGTTCTTAAGTATGTTGGTTAAAAAAAAAAAACCACAACAAAAAACCACAAACAAACTAGTATCTCATGTGTGATTAAAAATATATTTTTTTTTAATTGGCACTTCAGCAAGAACCTAAAAATACTTGTGTAAATTTTTAGTGGTGGATTTTCTATTTCCCTGGAATGTTTTCCATAAACCTTTACGCTCTTTTGAAGAGCATTATGTAATGTTTTGTTTGTGTTTTACAGATAACTTACTTTGACTTCCATATATAACCTCTGTTGTACATGTTTCCTTGAATAAATGAGAGGTGTATACCATGCATGAGTCCTTGCTTTGTTGTTGCTAACACTCATGTCAAATATTTTAAATTTGTGTGCATTCTAGCTTTTGAAACGTGCAAATTTAATGCTAGGAAAAAACCAGTAAGCCTGTGTTATGTGGCAGCTGTTGCCTGTGTTTGTTAGTGTTTTGGTTCATTATTCTGCTAAGCCTTTGCTTTATGAAAGCATTTAAAACTCGTGCTTGACTTTGACTGTTAGTAGTCTTGCTTCAGTAGAAAGAAAAACTGGCTAATATCTAATGTGATCTGTACGGATAAACCTTTCCATGTTACTGGAAGGCATTGGGAACTTTGCATCAGCCAGTTGTCTCTAAAGCTGTAGATGGCATTGCAGGATTAAGGCCTCATTGCGTTGTGAATAGTTCATCAAATATATATTCAAAATACTCATTTAGTAGTTTTGAAATCATTGAAGAGGAAAAAAAAATAGTGAAAAATCAAGGCACACCTAGTACATTCTGAGTAATGTACAGACACTTTGGGATAAAGGACATCAGACGTTCCTGTTGTAGTTGCCGTGATGATAGGAAGCTTAAGGCTAATCTTGAATTTCATTATATACGCTTTAAAATATTTTTGTTAAATTTTGTATATGTTTGAGAAATGCAGATAAATTATTAATCCTCATCTCAAACACCAGTAGATATTACAGTTAATGCAGTGATATTTTGACTGTCAGTGGCTCCTGTGTAGGTGATGAATTTTTTTTTCCTCATCTGTTGCTTTCAATACAGTATTCTAGGGCTGTTGTTACCACTGCTCAGAGCGTTGTAAAGCCAAAAGCATAACCAAAGCTGATAGCAGCAACGATCTTATTTCCCTTCACTTTGAAATGTTTAAAATAAAAGAATTTAAAATGCTTTTTTGAAATAGATTCTGGAGACTTACCTAGATGAGGCAGAAAGTACTAAACTAATGCTTGTTGTAGCTTTTCCAAGTTAAATGCTGCCTATGTGACAAACTTATTCACGTTTGACATTTTTTTTTCCTAAACTGTCTGAATGTTTTGATGCTTTTGTAAGAAGCTGGATAAAATTGAAACTGAGAATTAGCTAATTAAAAATCAACACTAAGTCAGTGTATTAATTTGATGTGCTTTAAAAATTGAGATTTTGAGTTGAAACTAAATCAGTTGCCTGAAATGTTTAAGCTTTGAGGAGCTTGTAATTTTTTTGGGTTTATATTTAATTTAGAACCGAATAGAAACATATTCTAAGTTACGTAGTTATCTTAAAGGGTATCCCTCAGATCAGTTTTGGGGCATCGTTCAAACTCCCTTAACTGTGCATTGCTTGTTGTTATACTTGTGTTTTTAGAGCTGTTAGTTTTCAGCTATTCTGATTGGTTTATCCTTGCATGTTCACTGTCCTGGTTGCAGCATGAAGCGTGCCAGTTCTCTGAATGTTCTTAACATGGGTGGCAAGGCTACTGAAGATCATTTTCAAGTAAGAAGCCCTACAATACTCTTACAAAAATATATCATTAGTAGGGTTTGGGATAAAAAGAGTATGATAAATAATAAAACAACAAACTCCTAGTGATTGGTAAGACCCTACTTTGGTAAGATGTTTAAAGCCTATGCTTAAGACATCGTTCTGTAACACTTTTGTGCATTATGCTTAATTCTAAGCAAGTGCTTAAGTCCGACCAGTAAAGAGCATTGGCTTTTATGATACCAAGCAGTCTCTGGCTTTGGGCCATCTAACTATTACAGTGGATATGAAACTTCTGGATTCTTACGTTCTTGTAAACCCCCTAATTAAAACCAAGAACTTTTAGAGCCCAGTTACTAAGTATTTTTTACTTCAGCCCCTTTATCGCACAGGGCCCGATCATCTTGCTGTACATTTTCAGATTCCCTTAAATGCGACTTCAGTTGTTCCTGAGTGAGTACAGGAGTAGTCTCTAAAAGGTTGTCTGATCTATTCTGGATTCTTACGTTCTTGTAAACCCTAATTAAAAAACCAAGAACTTTTAGAGCCCAGTTACTAAGTATTTTTTACTTCAGCCCCTTTATCGCAAAGGGCCCGATCATCTTAATTGCTGTACATTTTCAGATTCCCTTAAATGCGACTTCAGTTGTTCCTGAGGTTGTACAGGAGTAGTCTCTAAAAGGTTGTCTGATCTATGTTATGCTTCTGCTAATATAAAACCTTATTTTGCTTAACTGTACATGGTGTGCCCGATTGCTACTTCCCATTTCCAGTTTTTACCTAATAAGTCACTGTTTCTTATATTGTCAAATAAGCTAGCAATGTTCTGCGTTCTAAACACTGTTGTGCATTTTACTAACACAGTAACTGCAACTAATTTTAGGAAGACAAAATTGCTTCTGTACTAACAAAACTGTACGTGAGGATCTTCATCACTGTTTGTCTTACAGTAGCAAGAAAGCCCAAACTATGGCTCTCATTTTACTGTTGAGTGGCATAAAGGTGTCAACTATATTATCTCTAATGAACCTACTGCAGAGTTTTCTGCGGTGTGAAATGTGTGCAAAACTTTGCTTAGGGTGAACTTCAGCCAAAAAAACATCGGGGTAAAGCATAATTCTTTGCAGCAACAGTGCCAAGGTTTCAAAATGTCATGTCCTAGGTGCCCCTAAACCGGATCCTTAGCATATAGTCAATGTGACTTCCGGAAGAGTAATTTATTGTTTGTATGTACACTGCGATATTAAAATGAGTTCTCACTTCTTGTGAACTTTTCTAGTTCACCCACTAGAGAGACTCATGGCAATTCCCATAGATGGGCTCTTGCGTTTCTGGTAAGGCTTGGGTCAGGATTGTAAAGGGTGTGTATATACATATCAATAGATCTTTTCACTTTTGCTAGTTGAAAGTTGGGGGAAAAGACGTTTATTAGAATACGGAAGAGTGTCCCCCTACCCAGCGTGAACAAGGCCAGTTCTCCATAGATCCTTCTATTTGTTTGTTCCTGTTGGTAAAACTAGTAATTTTGTTTATTTGCTTTGAACTGTCTGGACATCTGCTTAATTTGTTTGTTTGTTTGTTTTCCCCTTCACACAGGAACGAAATAATTGTCTGACAGACTCGAGAGCTCTGAGTGTCAGTCATACTGATTTGGCGCATTGAGGTTCTTGGACAGAAGCTAGCTAAAATTCCTTGGTGAATAAAGAAGCACTGAGACCTTCAAAGCTTTGGTTCCTCATCATTATGTATAGGAACGCCTAGTTTGTAGATTTTGTTGGGTTTTTTTCCAATGGACTGCTGTTTTTACTTTTCTGAATAGGAACGATTTTAAACACAACGTTAGTGGGTATTTTCTTCTAAAGGAGAACTATATAGATATATTTTGCTCATTGCACTGCTCCCATTCATGCTACTTACATCGATTTCTTTAATAGGTCTGAATATTACAGCAGCCAAAAAAATGTAAAAACACAAACATATTTAAAGCATACCAAAATGCAAAGATGTTTGAAAATGCAGGCAAAACTAAATGTGTAGCAGTAAATATATACAGTGCTGGAATGAGAAAAGGATAAATGTATGTGCATTACTGTATGAATTCAAATAGAGCATACTGTATTGGTGGGGCTTTCCTTTGCACCACGGATTATTGTAATGTTAGAAACCTTAGCTGGCAAAACAGCACTTAGACACAGCTTACTTAACCACTAGATTGAGCTATTAAATTTTACGGAGGAGATGGTTGGGGTTACATTACCTGTAGATAGCATGAATAGCAATACCTGTGACCATAACTTTGACACTTGTTGATATAAGTCTTAGGGCACAATAATCGATGGAGATAGGATGGTTCACGTTGATCAGGAGAAATGGAAAATGTTTTGACCTTCACCTTGTATGGTTGACGAATACTGAAGTTTTGGACTGCAACTGTCCCAGAGCGGCTGCTGTTGCTCTTAGGGAAACATCAAGCCTCAGGTTGACTTTCTTGCTCGTCCACTGGAATTCACAATCCCGTTCTCTGTTTGCTGAAAGTGCTCCGACGTTTCCTTAGGCTGATCCCAAATCCTGCCCTTCTCTGTAATAGCTGATGACAGCAGAAGCAGGCAACTGCAGGCTAGGCTGTTACACTGTGGAGTAGCTGCTGTGCAAAGGACCACTCCAATCTGAAGGGCCCCAGTGGAAGCACTAGATGGCCATAAGTGGCAAGCACTTTGGCCACACATCCATGTTAAATCTACTTACGGTTAATATATATGCTGTCTGTATACGGGACTGCTGCTGGAACGAAGTATGTATGTTTTAAGTATTTTATAGACACTAGTGTTTCCTTTCGCTTTTCTGTAAAGCTTGTCATTTTGTTCATCTTTTGTAAAAATTCTTATTCATGTGAAGTTGGATGAGAAAGTAAAAAAGCCAACCAGTGTGTGTACAAATGCATTTGTGGTCATAGTTGTGAGTTGGAAAACGCTGAACGAAACGAACTTTGGGAAAAGCTGGAATATTCATTCAGGGCTAGCGCCAACTGAAGGAGGTAACACATAGGGGCACGAGCGAGTTTTAGTATTTGAACAGGCTGTGAAGAGTCAGTAGAATTAGTACTTCTACGAAGTATTTGACTGGCTTCGCATCCGGCTTTAAGTTGTGTTACAATACCCGATGCAAAAAGTTGTATGTGTAATGCACTTGACTATGTTTGCCAGGAGGTACCTTATTAGCTGCCAACTGAAGGAGGTAACACATAGGGACACGAGCGAGTTTTAGTATTTGAACAGGCTGTGAAGAGTCAGTAGAATTAGTACTTCTACGAAGTATTTGACTGGCTTCGCATCCGGCTTTAAGTTGTGTTACAATACCCGATGCAAAAAGTTGTATGTGTAATGCACTTGACTATGTTTGCCAGGAGGTACCTTATTAGCATCTCTTTAAGGAAAGCTGCGTGTGGTATACTGCTATAAGGACAGTTTAGAAACGGTGGGATATGATGCTGCTAATACGTAGAAGTTTCAGCACAGAGTAGTGCAATTCATTAATGAACTCGAGCGAGAACAAGTTAGTTGTTGCTCGGTTACTTAACAATATTTACTCATATAATGTAGACTCGTGAGTTTTAATCTTTTTATTAAGAGCTTTTTATATAAAAATATACATAATATATATACATTTTTCCCCTAAAGCAAAACATGTTATATGCACCCACTGGTGAACTCAGTTCTCTGCACAAAGCCAGACTGAGCCAGCTTTGCACAAAGAACTGTGCGTCGGGTTGCCGGGCTGGGTGGGTACCCGTGTCCAACCGACAGGCGGGCCGGGGGGACGGCGGGGGAACCCCCGCGCCCCCGTGGACAGCCTGCGATGGCGTCATCTGTCCCTCTGGCAGTACCCCTGAGAAACTCTCGCTGCAAACACACCCAGCAGTCAACCCGTTTCACACCGGCACGATGCTACTGCTATAGGAGTGGCTCAGTGGGCCTTGTAACGCGGGGTTCTGTGGAGCTCGGTGTTTCACGTAGAGACGGTTATAAAAGTCTGACTTCCAAAAAAACCCACAAAACCATTTAGATGCAGAACTGATTCTGGTAGTAAGGAATTACTGAAAAGAAATTGAAGAATGTGTTTTCTACATTCATGTTTCAGCTTTGAAGGAAAATTATTTTTGCAGCTTCTCAACAAAAAAAAAACAAACCAACACACCCCCTCCCCCCCAACTTGTGTAAATAGCAATAAAATATTTAACTGTGCCAAATTACAATGTACACAAAGTTTTAAAATGCAAGACCATGGTATGTTGATGGTGATAGTGAGGGAACTTTCTCATTTAGGATTGTACTGTTGGTGGCGTTACTAGTACTGTGCTTTTAAATGTTTTAAAGCTTTATATAGTATTTTAAAGTGTGTTGGAAGATTAAATTGTTGAGCTACTGCTTATTAAACAATTCTTATATTTAAAAGGTAGTTTTTTTTTTCAGAGAAGAAACAAATTTCAAGAGTCCTCTAATCCATAAATCCATAAAAGATAGCCAGGTCCTCACAGTTATGAGCCAGTGAGCTGCTTGCAGTTGGAGAAAAACTTGTAATGTACAAAACCAGTTTTAAGGTCAACCTTCCTTCTGTTTGCATCATGAATTGAGTACTGTCAGGAGATGGTTTGTATACATTGAAATTTCAGGTGGGCTTCTCAGTTGGTTTTTACGTAAGCCAATGAATTTCCTCTGTTTCAGTTGTAGCAAACAGTCTGCATAAAGTATAAAACCAAAATACCCAACTGTATAATTCTTGGGTATCTTCAGTACTGAACTAAACCGACAGCTCTGAAACAGAAAACTAGGGAAGACCTTCAAAATTGCCAGACATCTTGTTAGGAAAATTGCAACCTTGGTAGCGCTGTTTTGGTTTTAATCTAACATGTTTGTCCTTGCCCAGAATTGTAAGGGTGAACTCCATTAAAAACTTAATGAGGGCTCCAGATCAGGCCAGTTCCTCTGGATTCTGCTACGAGCAGCGGCTAGTTTTGCTGGGGTATACGGTCAGCAAGGGTCGCACGTAGGATGAATCGTACGTTGAATTGTTAGCGATGGAAAGGTGCCTGTTGCCCTTCTGTCTCTGGTTGTGCACTAGGCTTTAGGAATATTGGCAATATTGGTTCTTGAGTTTAGATCTTATTAAATATTATTGTAAAACGTAACTGTGTCATGATTTGCTCCTTTCAGGAATAACTGAGCTATTGCTGTGATGTCTGTGCTTGCAGTACTGCAGTGATAGAACATAGCACTTAAAACAATTGGACACGTTATCCAGCGGTTGTACCTTTTCTTAAACACCACCCCCCCAAGCCCTCCTGCATGGTAGTAAATGAAAATGGTTTTAAGCTTGAGAAGTATTTGTGCTTAAATTGTACCATTTGAATCCAGTAATTTTGAGAATGGTGTGGTTCTGTTGTAAATATATAGTAAAAGGGGCGTGCAGTGCTTCATTGAAAGTGTGTTTACAATACTTGATGAGTTCAAGTTACTTTAGTTTTTGTTATGCAGGTCATGTATTTTGTCTGAAAGCTGCTAAGAGAATTGCATTTTCGGTAATGTTAGCCTGTACTGAGAGAATAAATGTTAAAAGATGTGATGCTGTGAAGTTTACAGTTTCATTGTAGCAACTTTACATTGTCACAGACTTAGGGAAGTATTGGTATAAACATTGGCTCTTTTTTTTTTTTTAATAGTTTAGAATTGAGGGAAATCTTGAACATCTACATTTGATTATTCCCCCCCCAAACCCATTCACAGTAGTCTCAGCACACTGAATAGTCAAGGTCAATAGTTACACAGTGCCACCATCTGATAGAGGTCAAAAGACCCCAGTTGTTGGGAAAGTGCTTATGCTCATAGCGAAATTGCAAAACCATTCTTTAGTTACGGCTGCTTTTGAATAAGAAATACTTAAAGAACCGTAGTTGGAAGTTCATTTAACGCTCCAGCTACATCAAAAAGCTCGAAGCTGCTCTGACAGTTGTGCTGGCACACACAATAGAGAGAGAGACTAAAAATTGTATACAGCGTGGAACAAGCATAGTGAAGTCGTTTTTAAAACCAGATCAATCCTTAGGCTCCCTATATTTATACTCAAGTCACGATTCAAGCATGGAAAGTTATTGAGTCTTTAGTTGTAAATGATGTAGAAGCATTATACAGTAGTGGTGGTAGGTTACAGTGTAATTAAGCCAGATGAGTTCTGTACAATCAGGAATGGTATTCTCCGTTTTCTAGGGCCTGGTTTAAAAAACGAAACCAAAACCCAACAACAGCACAACCAGAAAACCATTTGTAATGTCAATGTACCCTTCTTGAGGAGGACTTCCCGTCCTGCCCCGATATGTGGATTTCACGTGTGATTTTAAATAAATAAATAAACAAACAAACCTTCCACGATTGGCTTTAAGATGCTGCATTTTGATCTCCACGTGGAGTTACTGCTTGTCACAGCTATGGACAAAATCCCATTCAGAGTTCACCTGCTTGTCTTACCCCATAAAACTCTGTTGAAAATAAACTTCCACAAATGTTATTTGTAACAAATAGTAGTAATTCACTGGGATTTCATCAAGAAACTTGTAATGAGATTGTTTAGTGTGTTTTACTGCATCTGTTTTGTTACTAGGTCAGCTGTGTAAATTCTTTACCAAGCACAAACAAATTTGGTTCTGCTTTTCCAAAGCAATGTTTCCAGAACCCTGTATGATCTTTCTGCTGAAAATGGCCTCTTTAAAGACACCACAGATCTGTAGATGAATTTGAAACTGTTTAAAAGTTTCTCAAGTGTCATTTAAGGTTTCTTTTCAAAGTGTAGAAAAATATTTAAATGTAGTCTTACAGGTTAAAGATGATATACTTAATACATCCTAGAATGTAAATCTTCTTTGTAAAAAATACTTCAATTTTTTTTCCTGTATAGAAACAAATCTCAGTTGTGAAATCCAAAGATAAATAAAGCTGTATAAAGGGAAGGTTCTTAAATTGCATTTATTAATTTAGCATGTTTCACCACTTTTGACACACGGCTTCAAAGAGGGCAGGTGCTTTGTTCAGTCTTCCTGAGGGTTTGCACCCCCAAGGCTGTACTAACGTCAGATGAACAACATTCGAGATTTCCGACCGTGGATGCCAGTTACTGAAAGAAGGGGTAGAAACTGCTGATGAACATTCGGCTGTGGGGAGTGACTGACTCATGACTGTAAGCTGAGGGGTCAGCTGCATTTTAGAGGTTCAGGGTTTGTGTGTGATGAATGAGCTAGGAAAATACTGTAACGTGCTCCGACTCAGATTTAAGCCTCCAGCTGGAGAGTTAAATAGCTGTGGGGAGTGACTGAGTAAGCTGAGGGGTCAGCTGCATTTTTAGAGGTTCAGGGTTTGTGTGTGATGATGAGCTAGGAAACATACTGTAACGTGCTCCGACTCAGATTTAAGCCTCCAGCTGGAGAGTTAAATAAGAACCAACACGGGCAATGGCAGGAAGGCTTGCTCAGGTAAGATGTTACTTAAATTTGTTGGTGAAAGTGGTTTTCATCAAGTAAACTGGGACTTTGGTTACAGACTCTTAACACTTAGGTCTCATTCCTGCAAAAAAGAGCTGTAAAAAAGAGCTATCAAAGCATTACAAAACTGAACCTTAAGTTGTGTATCTGACTGTCCTGAACATGGTTCACAGTGAGGCAAGCTCCTGGGATTGGAGCTTGGGCTCTTCTGTAAATTGAAGGTCTGGGTAGCGGTTGACTGACTCCTATTAATCAGCTACCTCCATCTGTGGCTTTTTTTTTTAAATCAAATTAGTACAATAGGATGAGCAATATATTGGCTAAAGTTCCTGTCCCAGATAAACAGGCCAGGAACAGAAGAGGATAATTTGAGCGTTACCTATGCTGCATTAGTTTATCTTCAGTAAAATTGTT